CTGGGGATGAGTGAATTCACCTAATTGTGCTTGCGGGGGTTGAGCTCTGGCTCTTTGGTCCCGCCTCTCAACTGTGTGTGTGTGTGTGTGTGTGTGTGTGTGTGTGTGTGTGTGTGTGTGTGTGTGTGTGTGTGTGTGTGTGTGTGTGTGTGTGTGTGTGTGTGTGTGTGTGTGTGTGTGTGTGTGTGTGTGTGTGTGTGTGTGTGTGTGTGTGTGTGCATGCGTGTGTGTGTGTGAATGCGTGTGTACATGCGTGTGTGTGTGTGAATGCGTGTGTACATGCGTTCACAAATAAATATGTAGTAGACATGATAAAAGAAAAACAGGTCGGGAGTCATTACATAAGCCATGACTAACAAAGGCGAAGGTCCAAGAGCTAGAGCATCTCGATGCTTCAGAGACAAATAGCAAACACAAACACTAAATACACACACACACACACACAACCAATTTAATAAATCACACTGAACATATGAATGGCCCATTCCTCTCTCCCACAAAACGAGACAGAGGAAGGGAGGGTGGGTGTGTGTGTGTGTGTGGGGGGGGGGTGTTAAGGACAAGGCTCAATTAACATGTCAATCTTGTCTTTCAGGTGATTTAGATCCAGCCATAAATTACTCAATCGCTCACAATGTGACAAGCTTGCAATGCGGGTCGGCTCGGATGACCGCCGAGTTAGTGAGTAGTTGGGGAGATTGGTTGGAAGAGGTAATTAAGATGTGGATAAATGAAATCTTGAATACGGATTAGGATATATGGATTAGGATATAAGGTGGTAAAGGTTTGTGGCCCAATCACCAATACTTGTTCTATCGCTAACCCAATCAGCATGATTCTAGATCATCTTGTAGGTGTCGATACCAGCATACAATTCCAATGTTTTTTATTTATTACAATAATTCAATTTGTATGATCGTATCCCTGGCATATAAATATTAAGCATTTAGAGTGGAAATTATAAATACAAAAATAATTACATATTTACACTTTTGACCTCTCAAAATGATTAATGATTGTGGTTATCGTCAGTAGTAGTAGTAGTAGTAGGCATCCATCAGTCTCAGGAGACTCTGGTTGTCGATCAGGAGTGGCCTCTCCAGGGCACAAAGTCAGGGGTAGGGTGATACGTGGGGGAGAAGCTGTCACCCATGCAGCAGGTCTGGTACACACCACATATCTGACCCCTCCCCCTAAAATGGTTTTAAAACTGGCAATGGAAAGCCACAGAAACTTGTAATAAAGTTGTTTCATCTTTGTATAACGTGTTTATGATGTATTAGAACGTTGCTACAACTTTCTATATTGGTTGTTACAACTTGTTCCAACGTTATAGCAACATCGTAGTTTCGTCGTGTGTTTTGGCTTGAGAGAGAGAGGTGACGGAGATCAACCGACCTCCCAGGGGCCAGATTCACGAAGCAGTTACGCAAGTACTTACGAACGTGTACATCTTTCCTTCATCTTTGACGGCTTTGGTTACTTTTATTAAACAGTTTAGAAGCATGAAAACTTCCCAATCAGCTGTTATTATTGTTATAAACAGCCTCCTGTTGCTTCAGAGCTCATTAACTGTTTAATAATTGTAAACAAAGGCTTCTAAGATTGAGAAAAGATGTACAGGTTCGTAAGTGCTTGCGTAACTGCTTCGTGAATCTGGCCCCTGGATACCACAAACATGTAAACAACACCTGTCGCTCCCTCCTTGACTTAGTACAAATAAATATATATATATATATATATATATATATATATATATATATATATATATATATATATATATATATATATATATATATATATATATATATATTATAAATCATCATAATCCCATAGGCATTGCAGCCCCAAATTACCCTGTAACAAGGAGGAAAATGAATAAGACCAACGTAGCCACATCTCTGTTAAGACTTCAGTGTTGCAATATAGTCTTAGTGGTTCAGTATAGTCAGACTATATTGGACAGTTTTAACAGTCTATAATCCAATACTGTCAGGTCTAAATTAGGAGCTAAGGAGATGCAACAGGTGTCTGCTAGAAGCAAGGGGTTTTGCAACAATTGTTTGAAAGGCACTGAGGATATTGAAGAAATGTCTGCTAGGCGCTAGGTAGACGCAAAAAATATCTGCTAGGCGCTAGCTAGACGCAAAAATATCTGCTTGGCGCTAGATAGACGCAAAAAATATCCGCTAGGCGCTAGATAGACGCAAAAAATATCTGCTAGGCGCTAGATAGACGCAAAAAATATCTGCTAGGCGCAAGTAGATATCCGCTAGGCGCTAGATAGACGCAAAAATATCTGCTAGGCGCTAGGTAGACGCAAAAAATATCTGCTAGGCGCTAGGTAGACGCAAAAAATATCTGCTAGGCGCTAGATGCAAAAAATATCTGCTAGGCGCTAGATAGACGCAAAAATATCTGCTAGGCGCTAGATAGACGCAAAAAATATCTGCTAGGCGCAAGGTAGACGCAAAAAATATCTGCTAGGCGCTAGCTAGACGCAAAAAATATCTGCTAGGCGCAAGTAGATATCCGCTAGGCGCTAGATAGACGCAAAAAATATCTGCTAGGCGCAAGTAGATATCCGCTAGGCGTTAGCTAGACGCAAAAAATATCTGCTAGGCGCAAGTAGATATCCGCTAGGCGCTAGCTAGACGCAAAAAAATATCTGCTAGGCACTAGATACACGCAAAAAATACCTGCTAGGCGCTAGATAGACGCAAAAAATATCTGCTAGGCGCTAGATAGACGCAAAAAATATCTGCTAGGCGCTAGCTAGACGCAAAAAATATCTACTAGGCGCTAGATAGACGCAAAAAATATCTGCTAGGCGCTAGATAGACGCAAAAAATATCTGCTAGGCGCTAGATAGACGCAAAAAATATCTGCTAGGCGCTAGCTAGACGCAAAAAATATCTGCTAGGCGCTAGGTAGACGCAAAAAATATCCGCTTGGCGCTAGCTAGACGCAAAAAATATCCGCTAGGCGCTAGCTAGACGCAAAAAATATCTCTAGGCGTTAGGTAGACGCAAAAATTTAATTTCGCCTTTTCGGAACTTAGACTTGGTCAAAATCGAATGTTCACTGTGGGAGTCTGCAGCAGATATTCCCCCTTACCCCACAAGATATTCAACATGCCGTTGGAGTCTTTTCTCCCGTTTACGACAACGGCTCCAAACTCCCATGCCGTTGCAAGGGTTGCAGCCGTATTTCAGGATTTTACCAATAGTGGCAGTGTACTGCAATTGCCTAGATTTCTATTGCAGAGCCGCTTTTTTTGGCCATTTTAATAGCCATCAGGGCGCCCAGTTTTTACAACAGATTTCATTGAAATTTTGTTACTTAATTTTAGAGCACACTTCAAGTTTGTATGTGTATTATCTTTCGCTACACTCTTCATGAAATGTTTTGGATTTGCAAGAAAAACGTTTTTAAATTTTCTGGTTATTCTGTGTTATTACAATTGCATATATATATATATATATATATATATATATATATATATATATATATATATATATATATATATATATATATATATATATATATATATATATATATAGGGCACACATCTATCATGCTCAATGGCACATATCTATCATGTTCCATGTGGCACATATCTATCTTGCTCTAATGTACACTTTCTATCATTCGTCACGTTTTTTCTGCTGACTGGATCAATCAAAACTAAATCCTGCCATTCCGAACCTATTCTTCAATCTAATACGTCGCAATTTGCACGGAATTGACCCAGTCGTTAAAAAATGCGACTTGCTTCTATAAATCAAAGCATCATAGTATTGACCTTTATCTTCCTCTTTAGGTTGGGTGGGTTGTTTGGGTTCGCAGGCTTCTGGTTAGGGGAAACAGTTGCATTTTTAAGGGAGTAGTAAATAGAGAGAACAGGCTGCTTTCTCTGTGGGGTTGCTGGTGGAGGCTTCCCCTCTCCCGTTGTAAATCTTTGGATGCTGATTAGGTCTCGGAGATTTGTGTTTTGTTAATGAACTCTCATATTGACCAGACCCACACACTAGAAGGTGAAGGGACGACGACGTTTCGGTCCGTCCTGGACCATTCTCAAGTCGATCATCAAGTCATTCATCGACTTGAGAATGCTCCAGGGCGAACCAAAACGTCGTCGTCCCTTCACCTTCCAGTGTGTGGTCTAGTCAACATTCTTCAGCCACGTTATTGTGACTCATCGCCTGCATTGAACTCTCATCTCATTTCTCCGCTCTCTCTCGCCTCTAGATCACGGTCCCTCACCACTAGACCATGGCCTCTCACCTCTAGACCATGGCCTCTCACCTCTAGACCATAGCTTCATTCGACAGGTTTCAGAATCACTCAAAATCAAAATAAGGCCTTCAAATCCTGGCAGGGATCACAACCTTCAGAAACCAACATACTCAAATCTATTTGCAAAAATGCAGAGTTGCTATATAATCTCAGCAACACATAGGAACACTTTATTAAACCAACTTCTACTTCAAATGCCAGGTGTTGAGTGTATTAACAGTGAGTGAAGGGGAAGGAGGAGAAGTGGTGATGGTAGAGGAGCTGTGTGTATGAGTGAGAGGAGCGCTATAGTTAGCTTCTTGCGCGGGGGGACAAGAAGGCTCATTAGGAAAGTAAGCAGGCCTGGTGCGGCTCATCATTAGCTCACCACACCTCCTGCTCAGCCATTGGGGCGCACCCCGAAACCAGCTGGGGTTGGAGACACCTAGCGGCTGTCAGCCAGGCACAAATGATTCCCCTAACAAGGCCCGTAGTGAGATCATTACCGGCAACTCAAGTAGTTTCTGATCCTTAATGATTCCCTGTGCGTCATGGCCATCTCTCTCTCTATCCCCCTCATCCCACGCCACACCATCCCTAGCCAGGCTTCATTTTGACGTCCCTTCAGGACACCATCAACTGACATCAACTGCTTCCTTCTATCTCCCTTCCATCGGCCGCCTCTGGCATGCTAGCTACGCCCTGTGCGTCTGACGGGATGATTATTTCATCGCTTTTCTATTCTTTTGTTGCCCCGTATGCGCTCCCTGGAGTGGATTTTTTTGTTCCTGCTGTTGTGCTCGTGTGTCTGTTGGGATTTCAGTGGCTGTGTGGCCTCCTGGCTTCCGTGTTGCGGTCTCCTGGCCTCCTGGCTTCCGTGTTGCGGTCCTCTGGCCTCCTGGCTTCCGTGTTGCGGTCTCCTGGCCTCCTGGCTTCCGTGTTGCGGTCTCCTGGCCTCCTGGCTTCCGTGTTGCGGTCTCCTGGCCTCCTGGCTTCCGTGTTGCGGTCTCCTGGCCTCCTGGCTTGCGTGTTGCGGTCTCCTGGCCTCCTGGCTTGCGTGTTGCGGTCTCCTGGCCTCCTGACTTCCGTGTTGCAGTCTCCTGGCCTCCTGGCTTCCGTGTTGCGATCTCCTGGCCTCCTGGCTTCCGTGTTGCAGTCTCCTGGCCTCCTGGCTTCCGTGTTGCAGTCTTCTGGCCTCCTGGCTTCCGTGTTGCAGTCTCCTGGCCTCCTGGCTTCCGTGTTGCAGTCTCCTGGCCTCCTGGCTTCCGTGTTGCAGTCTCCTGGCCTCCTGGCGGCTTCCGTGTTGCAGTCTCCTGGCCTCCTGACTTGCGTGTTGCAGTCTCCTGGCCTCCTGGCTTCCGTGTTGCGGTCTCCTGGCCTCCTGGCTTGCGTGTTGCGGTCTCCTGGCCTCCTGGCTTCCGTGTTCCGTGTTGCAGTCTCCTGGCCTCCTGGCTTGCGTGTTGCGGTCTCCTGGCCTCCTGACTTCCGTGTTGCAGTCTCCTAGCCTGCATATTCATTTAGATACGTTTGGAGTTCTTTTCATGTCTTTTTTCGTTCTATATATCCAATTTTCCAGCTGTTTTTTCCTCCTTGCAAGGTGCAAGCTGTGTTGCTGCCTCAGCTGCAGGCTTCCTCAGCCTTGAACCTGACAGAGGCTCAGCTCAGCCTCGGGTCTGAGGGAGGTTCTCCTCAGCTCTAGAGCTGACAGAGGCTCATCCATTAGGAACACGTCATCAGCTCGCAGACGTCAGAATTTGCTGTCTGCATCTTCCAGCTTAATTCCTATTTTCATATTCATTGCAATCAACTCCGTTGCTTCATCATAGAAGTGACACGGACTGTCACGTTTGCTCTAACAACAGAGCACAGTCTGTCTTCTCTTGGTGACATCAGTGACAGGAACAGAAAGTTGAAGAGTTAGGTCATATATAGACAGACAAAATATGTCACATATGACAAAATATGTCATATATGTTTCTTCTTCTTCATCCTCATGTACTCTAACCATCAACACAATCCCTCACTATTATTATTCTTTTAGTTTTATTTGTTATTTTCATTATCTTCGCTACTATGAAGACTGTTGTATTGATCATAATGAGAGGTATTAACCCAGTCATTATTACTGCCAATAGTCTAAATTGTTTACTATCGCCTTTTTTCGGTAATATTATTCGTTCCTACTCATTTAAAATTGCTTCTATTCTAACTACTGTTAAACCAACTGCCATCACCCTATTTTTATTATTGTGTTAATTACAGCAGTTACTAGCCTATTATATGAGTTATTATTCTATTATTACCGTTTTTAATCTATAAATACAGTTATTATTACAGGTATTATCCCAGGGAGCCGGTCGGCCGAGCGGACAGCACGCTGGACTTGTGATCCTGTGGTCCTGGGTTCAATCCTAGGCGCCGGCGAGAAACAATGGGCAGAGTTTCTTTCACCCTATGCCCCTGTTACCTAGCAGTAAAATAGGTACCTGGGTGTTAGTCAGCTGTCACGGGCTGCTTCCTGGGAGTGGAGGCATGGTCGTGGACCGGGCCGCGGGGACACTAAAAAGCCCCTAAATAATCTCAAGATAACCTCAAGATAACCTATTAATACTCTTCGGACCTTAAATTTGTTATTATCCCATTATTCCAATTAACTTAACAATTAATACTATTTTTATTTTTACAAATTTAAAAACAAAAGCATATGCTAATAACACACTACACACAACAGTGTGTAGTGTGAGGGGTCACTTCAGCCTCACCCTCACACTACACAGCTGAAGACTCTAGCCTCACCCTCACACTACACAGCTGAAGACTCTAGCCTCACCCTCCACGCTGGAATATGGTGTGTATAGAGAGGTGAATATCTTCTCTACATAGGGCGAAGGGGGGTCCACCTTGATCTTTTCCTCATAAGCGTTTCTTTATCAGTGCTAATCCATGAAACCCTCATGCTTGCTGTCAGCATAACTCACAGTCTAGTGAGGTCCACCCAACTCACAGTGCAAGCAGTCCAAGTCACACAGGTGCGGTCTGTTCAACTCACTCGTATGGGCATGCAGCCAGCCAGCTGCTCCACAGCTGAATATATCACATATATATTGCACAAATATATATGTGAATATATCACATATATATTGCACAAATCAGTTGAGAGAATAATATGCAACATTCAAATGGTTATAATCATATTGAGTCTTTTGGAAAATATATAGAAATAAAGTCTTGACTATGATTTGTGTTATCTAAATATGGTTTGTCATATCTAAATGTGATTGCAAAACACTGAAGAAGAGTTTTTATGACACTGAGAAAGGCGTCGCTTAATTTTGTCATCCGTGTTGCATATGTCCAACGACCATGTTTACTGTCCTAGCTGATCAACAGTTTGTCAACACAGTATTGCGTTGGTAAACACATGACTTGGTCACCAAACTGTGACCTATTGCAAGGTCAGTTAGAGGAGAGGTGATTTGGCAGGGTTTTATGTGTGTGTGGGATTTTTTTTTATTATTATTTTCTACCACAGACGTGGCCGCACATTTACAATGCTAAGCAGCATGTATACATTTTCTTCTGTTCTCCATGGACAGGGTGAGAGATCTGCTAAACATATAGTTCAGGGATTGACATATCCCTGGGATTATGTGTGGGATTGTGTGTGTGTGTGTGTGTTCTGGAAGGTTATTAAGGCCTACCAACCTCTGGGGGGTTATTAAGGCCTATAAACCTCTGGAAGGTTATTAAGGCCTACCAACCTCTGGGGGGTTATTAAGGCCTATCAACCTCTGGAGGGTTATCAAGACCTATCAACCACTGGAGGGTTATTAAGACCAATCAACTTCAGGAAGGTTATTAAGGCCTATCAACCCCTGGAGGGTTATTAATACCACCCCAAAGACGTATTGACCAACCAGACAGTCTTGAACATATTCCAGGACTTAAGTATACACTCTCAGTGTATATATACACCTATAAATACACACACACCCCTCGATGTATATTTCACACCAGTGAACTGTCGACAAACAGCATAAAGACAAATGTTCAGACAGACAGACAGACAGACAGACAGACAGACAGACAGACAGACAGACAGACAGACAGACAGACAGACAGACAGATAGACAGAGACAAATCTTCCCAACACCACAACAGCCGTCAAAACCAGAAGAAAAATAATATATAAAAACACCTAATATATATATATATATATATATATATATATATATATATATATATATATATATATATATATATATATATAAACCACCGACAATATTTCCCCTTCCAATTCCCACAGACCAAAAATGGGGGCGGTACCGGCATTTAGGGGAGAGAAAATGGGTAATAGGCAAGATACACACAGGGGAGAACGCTTGATTTCCCATTAGCAGCGCCACGCGCTAGTCCAATTAACATTTATGTACGACCTCGGAAATAGGAAGCGACAATATACGACCTCGGAAATAGGAAGCGATAATATACGACCTCGGAAATAGAAAGCGATAATATACGACCTCGGAAATAGGGAGCGATAATATACGACCTCGGAAATAGGAAGCGATTACCAATAACCAAGACCGTAGCCCTTCAACCCACAACCCTCGTTAACTAGACGCCTCCAGACAGTCCCTAGGAGAAAACCCCCAATTGCAAAGTTTATTAATAGTGATTGACAATCGTGGGAGAGGTGGAACGGGGGGGGGGAGATTTGATGGGGGGTGTGGAAGGGGGGGAGGGAGGGAGGGTTGAGGGGTTGATGTCGGAGTGGCTGGCGGCGCATCATAGTTTTCTGTCAGTCTGTCTATATTTGGCTTCCCTTATTGAGAAAATGCAGCGGCCTTTTTGACGACGGGTTAAAAAGAAAATTGTGAGGTGCATTGATGACGCTGGTGGGTTAAATGGTCCACAGGTGGCGGTCTGGTCTTTAGCGGGACCTGCTGGAGAGGGGAAACTGGTCGAGCCAGGTGGCGAGGGAGAGGGGAAACTGGTCGAGCCAGGTGGCGAGGGAGAGGGGAAACTGGTCGAGCCAGTGGCGAGGGAGAGGGGAAACTGGTCGAGCCAGGTGGCGAGGGAGAGGGAGAAACTGGTCGAGCCAGGTAGCGAGGAAGAGGGGAAACAGAGCGAAGCGTCGAGGGGAAGAAGCTATAACTCACCTTCTGAAGCACAGGAACAGGTCACTTGGGATAGATGAGGATAGTTCCTTAGCATGAAAATGAGACCATTTAATGTTAGATCACTATATCAGATGTTAGAGAAAAACATTATATATTTTGTTTAATTCCAAGATGTACAGAGGTTCACGGATTGTTCTCGGAACAATGTTATTACACCAACATTGTTCAGATGTTCAGCGTTCACGTCCAGCGTTCTCTTTCAGATGAACAGTGACCACATCTAGATTTAGAGAAATGCAGCGATCACGTGCAGACGAGGAGTCACAATAACGTGGCTAAAGTATGTTGACCAGACCACACACTAGAAGGTGAAGGGACGACGACGTTTCGGTCCGTCCTGGACCATTCTCAAGTCGATTGTGTAGAAGTGATCTACAGCGATCACTTCTAAATGCTCGCTGATCTCACATCGACAACTCATATAAAACCTTTACTACACACCTGGCTCCTGTTTCATTCTATATTATTATTATTTGTATTATTACTTACATCATTGTAACAATATTAAGAATATTCCTAATGAAAATTAATAATTAACTCATGGAATAAATCAGTTTGTAGAGTCAAGCTTCAACTGAATTGATGTTGGTCAACATAGCTTACATTTTCACTGGCCACATCAGTGGTATTCCTTATGAACCCTTCCTTCTTGAGGTTATATCTTGAGATGATTTCGGGGCTTTAGTGTCCCCGCGGCCCGGTCCTCGACCAGGCCTCCACCCCCAGGAAGCAGCCCGTGACAGCTGACTAACACCCAGGTACCTATTTTACTGCTAGGTAACAGGGGCATAGGGTGAAAGAAACTCTGCCCATTGTTTCTCGCCGGCGCCTGGGATCGAACCCAGGACCACAGGATCACAAGTCCAGCGTGCTGTCCGCTCGGCCGACCTGCTCCCTTGCCTGAGTTACCAAAATAAAAATGAAATAGAGATAACTAGAGACAAAAGGTTAAAGAGAGGAGAGCTGGTTGGGCAAATAGCTGACGGTCCACTACAGACGGTGGTCAGGCTCGACAGTGACAAGTGAAGGAGTGTTTACACAGTAATCCTCCACAATTACTAATCGAGGCCGGGGTCAGAGGTCAGCACCCCCCCCCTCTCTCTCCAGAGGTCAACGCCCCCTTGCTATAGTCCTGAGGTTAGAGTGGTGCTGGACTCAATAGACCAACGCCCACACAACTTGTTTTAAATTCTTAACTAAATGTCACTCCCTTTTTGCCTAAAATGTAAAGTTTTGATTTGTCTTTACATCTGTTTAGTCCAGTCAGTATTGTTGTGAGTTGTATCAGTTGTTATAATCTTAGGTTGTAATGACAATATCTACGGGCTGTGGTG